CAAGCCATCAAATCCGCGATATTCCACAGGGAGCCCAGCTTAAGTCATTTCGCAACTTTGACGGACGATATCACCCCAAAAAACGCATTTCATGGAATTTTCATTTCGATTTTCAAAATCAACAAGGTTTGATGTACATTTTAAGCTATGATGTGTCTGGCACCTCAGAGTCCCTTTAAGGAATTTTGCGGCTTCTTTGCCTTTTCCAGGAAATTTCCTGGCCAAATTGAAAACTATTCCAGTCATCCGTATCCCGTTCCAGGATATTTCCTGGCTAAAAAGAAAAACATTTAAAAGCCAATTGTAATCTTGTCATTAGTCCTTCGAGAGCATATCTTAGAGATTCTGTGCAGTATCACCGATCAATAGACCTTGAGGCTAATCCCGTGTAAATGGATCTGTAGTCTAGTAACACAGCGTCGTATTACGAAGAAAAAAGGTCTATTTGCGAGAAAAGAGATAAGATTATTCGAAAAGTGCAAAGAGTAATATCGAAATACGTGTTGGTATTTGACTGGGGATTAACATCAAAGTGACTTGCTTGGAATTAAGGATTAACGACAGTACTATCTTGCTTCCTGTGATCAAAACTATACCATATCTGTACACTGATATACGCGAAGTGTTAATCTGTGTATTCAATGATCGAGGTAGATAAACAATAGTGAAACTCTCTTACTCTGTTCACGAAAAAAAGATTCTTCACCAAACGAAGATAAATAAAATTGAACTATAGGTTCATTCAGTGTGAACCTGAGACCTCTCCCACCTCTATAGAGAAACAAGACTTGAAACAACCTTAAATCTTGGCGAAGGGTAGAGGCAATCAAATCCCCACCCCTCCCCACTTGATTGGAAATTTAATGGAGGATTAGATATATTGGCGAAGAATGCTATTTATTTTGCACTCTCCCCTCCCTTACTATTTTTTACTAGGGCGAAGAATTCTTTCATGAAAAGAAAATAGAGTTACGCAATGGTCTATAGCTAACCGCTATTCTTCACTGTTTAGATATTGAAAATGCCTTTTGGAATTGAGATATACTGATCTATAATTGCAAGTATATGAACATTGAATTGGCTTACTTCCAACCATTAACTTACAATTTTACAAAAAACAAACTACTTTCTCAGTCTACAAAACACAATTCTTGGAGTCATATTTTGTGGCCTTCCTCGTGTTTCAGCCAAGGGATTTTGTAAAATGTCTGCTATATCACTCTAAAACGCACTGGCAAAACGCGAATTTCGAACTGCCATCTTGTTTCAACATTATCCCGAGTTTTGGAGGGGAATATCGTCCAATATTTCGAGATATGAATGAACCAATGAGAACACGCCATCTATGTAGGTTCCCGCGTTAGTATATCCTTAACTTCGACTACATAAATAATAGTACGTCCGTTTGTGAGGTATACTTTCCTTGGTGAAACTTTCACTCACCCCCTCCCCCTTAGTGGTGATTTTAACTATGAGGACGACTGGGGCAAAGATCCCTCACCCTCCCCTCCCCACGTCTTACTAGGACTGAAAGATAAGCAAGAGGTTTTTCGGTGTCAGTAATTATCAAATCACTAATAGTATACCACTTATGCTCACTTCTTGCTAATGTCCAGAGGAAGGAGTCTTCGTATACAATTGGCAATTAAAATCACGCCTAAAGCTACAGTACAATGACCTCCGCTCCATCTAAGTTAGTTTATATTTCGAGCCTTTAGTCCCTTTAGGCAAGCATTTAGTTCTAACTTTAACCTAATGTCTTGCTGATTTTCTAGTCACTAAAATACTCGTATATTCGTTCCATAGAATACCTTATTGGGAAGCACGGGTGGCGTAGCGGTAGAGCGCTCGCCTCATGTGACCATGTTCGATTCTCGGACTCGGTGTCGTATGTGAGTAGAGTTTTAAGTTTTCTATCCTGTGCCTGAATTCAAGGATCTTTTTCCTGTTTTTCTGATTTTCCCTTTTCGCAAAAACCAAGTTCTAAATGCCAATTCAATTACTGAACACTTTCTGTTAATTCTATCCCGCGTTTTGATGTCTTTAGTTTCTCCTGACTATTTACTTAGTTTTCTTACCCCCTCCCCCCTCTCCTTCCCCTCCCCCCTGCAGAAACACACTTTAGATGTACGCAGATTAGTTCACATTAGTCTTAGCTTCTGAATTTTCAGTTTTTTCGATGAATTCGAAACCCTCTTATTTCCCGCCATTTTTTTGGTCATGCGCATTACGTGTTTTCTCCGCGCTCGCAAGTCTAATCTGAAACACAGGTAGCTCAAACGTTCAAAACTTCAAATCATCAAAACTCTTAAAAATAAAACTCCTGATTAATTATACTCAAAATAACGACGCGACATGTCTTTTACGTGAGTTTTCTTGACCATACGATATTCTGCCATTGAAGAAAATTGACTTCCACAGTCACTTTGCGTTCCAATCAAAAGATTTCCGGCTAAGCTTGTACAATCCGCTTAGCTCATTTAACATCAATTTTTGATAAATGCGTCATCCGTTTGCCTGGCGCAAAACAAATGTTGTACTAAAACAGCGTCTCTCCAACACCATGTGTCTGTTGTGGTTGCGTAGCATATACAATATAAGTGTTTTCTGCGCTAAGGTACGTAGTGACTAAGCAAAGAATTGAAAAATGCGTCATCCGTTTCCCAGTCGCAATAAAAATCGAACAACAAAGCTGTAAGCTGTTCAAATTTTATATCTTGTAAATCTCTTAGCAAGATTTTGAACGGTTTTTCTCATACATTGGCCTTGTTCGTATTTCTTTTTCAAGCAAGCCTAGTGTGAACTTGACTAGGGAATATAAGATTAAGCAAACAGCAGTCATATTAGACCCGGGGATAGAATTATTTATATAGATATCAATTTGTGTGTACGTGTTTGTTTGTATATTTTGGCTTAACAATATTGGTTCATTGTTAAATTGAATTTGGTCGTAGCATAGAAAAAACCAGAACTCAATATTCTACCGCCTTTGTTCAAAGAAAACACCGCTGATATAATAGAAAAGATCAAACAATAGAACCCGTAATTTTACAACTAGTTCCTTTGATAAGTATATAAACAATGAAAGTGCTCGATATCATCTTAAAGCATATGTAAACAAAAAATTGTAGGAGAAAAAACAATTTCAAATTTACGATGAATATACTAATGATTTCGCAAACGGCTCTCTCTAGAATTTATGGTATACGAAGCGTTCTTTCTTCTTCCGATGAAGTATGACTTCCATAACAATTTAGTAGATAATTTTTTTGGGCAAAGCTTAGGCATTGAAATGGCTTTGTTTTTTCCATACCAATTTAGCAGACTTTTTTTTGGCAAAGCTTAGGCATTGAAATGGCTTTGTTCGGAAGTTATTTCTTACATTAGTAAGTTTTAGATAGACATTTCTTCTTCTCGCAAGGAGCGAACATGATCATGTTTGTATCGTTTTCCAGTAATTCACTTTACTTTACCTCTTGCTAACCTCACCAAAAAACATTATTCTTGGAAATATATGCTTGCAATTTTTTTATTCCTTTTCGAATTCACCAATTTTTAAAAACATTTCGCGGGTCAACTGACGTTTCACGTTCGCTGTAAATGAAATCCTAAACCCCTCTTTCTATAAATATAATATGCTCTACTCGATATGGCTTATGATAGAGGATAGATTATAATGATTCCCTCAGCAATTTATGGTATGCTAAACCACCTACGCGGTCAGTTGTCCTGGACTCAGTGAAATTAAACACATCTAAATGAATTCCTTCAACGTATCATAACGATGAAACCATATATTATGTTTTTAATAAATTGGCTTTCCATGGCTTTGACGCTAGTATATAATGATGGTGGCCTTTCCTTCGGCAAAAAGTAAATTATATCCAAAGATTTTTTTATGATATAGTATGACTCAGCATTACATCAAAATGGCTTTTTGAAGCAATTTCTCAGAAAAAGATTTCTCTTGCGATCGCATCGAATACTTTTTTAGATTTATGACTCAAAATTAGAATGGCTTCCGTCGATCAAAGTACGAAACATTATGGAATTTCAAATAGTATTACCGATTTTTTCCCTCGATATACCCAAAATACAATTTTCATTTTTTTTCTCTGAAGCTTATCATCAGTGATGCGCATCAATGGACGAGCGGACGCTTCACTGCGTTGATAACTCTTTCCTATCAAAGCGTGCTTTTTAAGCTACCAAATAACTTGACAGTGATCCAGATTTTAACAGTTATTTTACCTCTTGGGTCTCTTGGTAGAGGGTTGTCAATGAGCTTGCTTGAGAAACCAAAGGTCTTTTGTTTTAAAAATATATACGCGAAAGAAGAAAACCAATACGATAAATGTGGTAAAACTACATTTGTGAGTTATTGAAATAAGGTGATAAATTTGAACATAATCAATGATTATGGATTGGGTGTGAGATTAAATGAAAAGTACGACCAAGCTCATTTGAATTGACCAAAGCRAATGTAGGCTATCAGACAATGACCAAAAAATCCAAAATAATTAAACCAAATCAGTGACCTTCAAAAAATTATTGTCGTACCGCAGGAGAAAAAACTTTAAGTAAATTAGATGTACAATTTTCAAAACAAGTTAATACCATAGCATGTCAGATTTGTCTTGAAAGACTTGGAATTGTACATGTTTTTTTATAATTCTGCATGAACCAATGCGACGCAATTTACGCTTTTTCTTTGTTTGCTTATCCAATGAACATCATTGATGAGACTTCATTAACCATTCACTAATAATGAACACAACAAAAAGAAAACTTTGCGAATTCCGTGTTTTCGTAATCATATCTTGCCCAACCAGCATAGCTTTTACACCTAAAAATGTCCCTCAATTATACTTAGAGAGTGGAAGATCATTGCACATGACGTAAAATAGCTTTCATGGAGCTCGAGTCGAGAAGCTTGGATTTCCCTAGAGAATTCATAGAAAATATTTCTGGAAACAAAGGCGTATGGTATAGAATTAAGTCAATATCATGAAAACCTGGGCTATGGAAGGCCATTAATTTGACTGTGAAAATTCTCCCAATATTCAAAAACGTACACATTTGTCTTTGGTAAGTTAGGAGCAAATATTTTAAATCTAAGGTAAATCCATTGAACTTATATTCTATCGATTTAATTACCGATGCTTTAAGCGGTGTTACTTTATCGACAAACACTAAGTAATCTCAGTTCGCTTTGAGATGTGATTTTTCACAGTTGTAAAATTGAATCAGTACTTC